AAAAAACAGTACATCTTCATTTCACACTCTGCATTTCTCTGCGGTCTTCACTTTAGATGGGCTCTACGTTAACTCCATAAGCTGTCATTTCCTTCTGATCACAAGATCTTCCCCATTTCACCACTCGGACCTACACACCCACCCAACTTGTCACTTTCTATTTAGGTTCCACTTCTAGGAGCTGATTAACACGTGATATCACTTATTCATCTCATCAGCTTATGTACAAAACATCTCCAAAAGGTTGTTAAATTGACATAACACACAAAAATCAGCAAAATCATCTCAGTCGATTGTCTGTCAACTAAAAGACTCAACAGAGAAAGAAGATGAAAACAAAATCATCAAGAGAAAAAAGCTGCAAAGACTGTGAAAAACATCATATTGGCCAAAGTGGACGCTTTCTTCGTCACAGGACACAAATATATCCACTCCCTCCTCAAATTACTCATTGCATACAGACAACCAAGGATACCAAATTGACTTGGAAAACATACAAATGTTATACAGAGGAAACAGCAAAACACTAGAGAATGTTTGGAAGTCTTGTATTCCAGTGAATCGGCAATTCACAGGCACATTGAAATCGATAAAATTTACCAATTGATAAGAAGGAAGTCACGTGAACAAAAAAGTCATACTTCAGGTCAAACAAAACAATCAATACCAATACTACAAGGAGACTAGAGGATATGAAGGCAGACAAGAGCAACCAACCACGTTCAGAGTCACCAGGAAAGACGACTAATAAAAGCTCACTTCCCAAATTGAAGTGTATGATCTGAGGATGTTGCCTAGTAGGGGGGGGGGTTGGAGGCAATGAAAGCTTCTCAAGTAAACCATCCAGGTCAGAAAACACAACTACATCAAAATCACCCACGTGAGCTACAAATCTCCATTATATATATATATATATATATATATATCCACTTAACTTAGCGTATATATGTGGAGGATCTGGACTTCGCCGATGATTGGCGATGAAATCTCAGCACGGATCCGAAAAGCTCGAGCTGCTTTCGCTGACTTACACCATCTCTGGCGTAGGCGTGACATCCGGTTATCAACCAAGGGACGTGTGTACTGCTCATCAGTTCGCTCCGTCCTTGTCTATGGCTCTGAAACATGGCCAATACGCGTTGAAGACATGAAAAGATTGACTGCTTTCGATCATAGATGTCTGCGATCTCTGTCTCACGTTAGGTGGTTTCACAAGATAAGTAATGTTGACGTTAGGCGTAGAGTGTTGGGCAAAGAGGGAAAATCAATCGACGAGGTTATAAAGTTACATAGACTAAGATGGCTAGGTGACGCGCTGCGCATGCCTAACCACCGCCTCCCCCAACGGGCATTGTTAGCTGATATAGGTTCAGGTTGGAAAAGAGCCAGTGGTGGCCAAACAAAAACATGGCCTCATCAATCCATGAAATCCTTGACAGTTAAACTGAGTCAGGTAGGGAGATGCAGACTCCCGGGTTGGGGCCCTCGGGACTCTAGGAATCAATGGCTGGAGACTATAGGTGACATGGCTCAAAATCGTTGTCAATGGCGCAGATGTATTCAATCTCTGTAATCTTTCATATTCCTCTCTACCATTACCCATTCTGTTTCACTCTTATACTTGTCAAACTCTATTGATTCTCTTCACTCATCTTCTTGTCTACCTCTGTGTGCTATTTGGAACGTGGCAACTCGAACTGCTGCACTTCGGTGCCAAGTTCTATGTTGAATCCAGACAGACAGACTTCGCCGATGATATATATCTGATTTCCCACAAACTGGAAGATATGCAAGTGAAAAGCAACAAGCTGGCAGAAGAAGCATCCAGAGAAGATAGGACTTCAGGTTAACATAGAGAAAACAGAGGTGATGAAGATTCCTGGCCAACAGACAACAATCAGCATAAATGGAAGGAACCTGAAAAAAACAACCTCCTTTACCTACCTAGAAAGCATTGTTTCAATTACAGACCCACGAAACTGACGAGGACATCAAAGCCAGAATCGGAAAAGCAAGACAAGCTTTCATTACTCTCAAGTCTGTGTGGAGGTCAACATCACACAGCATCAAAAATAAGATCCGGATTTTCAACTTCAATGTGAAGTCAGTGCTGCTCACTATACGGATCAGAGACTTGGCGCCGTGTCATAAAGAGCATCTCAGACAAACTACAGACCTTCATTAACAGTTTCCTTCGCTCAATACTCAAGATCAGATGGCCGGTCAGAAAAGATCAGCGACAAAGATCTCTGGGAGCGAACCAACACAGCAGGAACCGATTGTGAAACAAATAGGCAGGAAGAAATGGAGATGGATTGGCTGGACGTACTCTGAGGAAAGAAACCATCAAGTGACATCACTAGACAAGCCCTCGAGTGAAACCCGAAAGGGAAGCGGAGAGTTGGCCGTCAGTGCAAGGGTGACTTGGAGGAGGTCATGTGAAGAGGAGGTGAAAGCATGTGGGCAGACTTGGAAAAACGTTGGCAGAAGACCGAACGCAATGGAGACGCGCAACTGAAGCCCTATGTTCCTCTAGGAATTAAAGGACATAATAATATATGTGTGTAAGGTAGTGATATCGATCGATTCAGTCAAGATGTGAATTAAAGCTACAATAACAATACTAATAATAATAACAGCTCTCTATACAGAATTTTCAGCGGGTTTCATTACAAGGTATTCACCCTTTGTGTATAACCTTGAAACGACCCAATAATAATCGATAATATATCCTCTGAAAAAAGTATATTCTTCTATCCGAACTATGCTTCGATGCTACTCTATAATGCTCTTCCTTCGCTTCCTTTAAAAAACTCTTGGCGGTAGGTAGAAACTTCTTTGAAACTGTGGGCTAGTGAAGACTGCTACTCATCGTGGTATTTATTATCACATACTATTGTTCCTTTGGGTTCTGAGTGGAACATAGGGCTTCCACTGCACATCTCTAACTTTGTTTCATTTTCTGCTGTCCACTTTAGCTGGACCCACGATTGCTCATAGTCTCTCATCTCCTCCTCTCATGATCTCCTTGATTTCACCCTCGGATGACCCCCTTATCACTTCCCATTCACCTTCCACTCGAGCAATGGAGTGGTGATAGTGTGATGTCAATCGACAATCTCCTCAGCGTATGCCCTATGCATCTACATTTTCTCCTACATAGTTGTTGAACGATAGGTTCTTGGCTAGTTTCTTCTTACTAATACTTTCTGGCCGGCCATATGATCTTCAGTATAGAACTAGCGAAGGTGGCAGCTGTTGATAAAGGTCTGTAACTTATTGGAAATCCTTTTTGTGACAATCAGTGCAAGTTTCTAATCCATATACAATAACTGACTGACTTGACACCCTTTGTGCGTCGATGGCACAGTGATTAAGACTCTCGCTGACCATGCACATGGTCCGGGATTCGATATCCTGCCGACGCACACCTGATATTAATGGTCGGCCTGCAAAATTTGGGCTACCGATATCACATGCTGAGAATTCCATACTTATACCGAAAATATAGTGTGGCATCAAGCTGTAATCAACAAAAATCGTGACCAATAGGGTGCAGCAGGTCGGGTGAGAGGACAAATACTCTCCGAAGACATTGGCTAGGGGTTGCGATGTGTCATGAGTTGGCAGAAGTTAGAATTCATGGGCCGACCATTGAATTGGGTCCCAGTGGCTTAATGGTCTACGAGCTCACTTGCCTTGTGACCTAGAAGGTCCTGAGTTTGAACCCTGCTGGTGATTGCATGCTGCTGAAGATTCCCAAACTAGGATGATGAAACAGCTGCCCAGTACTCTCAGGTGGTTTTCTAATGGTTCTCTAACTAATGTCAGCTCATGATGAAATCCTGTAACTAAAAAAAATGTTGAAAATCCGAATTTGTTCTTTATGCTGAGTTATTGGAGAAGATTTCCGAACCGATTTCAGATTGTTGAAGACGTATCTTGCCTTTTCGATTCTGGCCTGCTTTGACACCTTCTAACTGCCGTTCCAACTGCCTGTAATTGAAATGATACTTCCCAGATAACTGAAGGAAGTAACCTCTTTCAAATATCTCCTGTTGATGATAGTGATTGGTGCTTTTTGTTCTTGTTGTCGTCACTGTTGGCTGGTTATCTTCCTCAGCCTCCAAAGCCTCAGGATGGTCGGGGGTGGGTGCCTTGCGCTGCGGGTTGGCCACCCCTCCGCACACCTCCTGAAATGCTCCCACATGACCGGGCGTCTTACATAGCCTCTCCTGAGGAAGTCCTACTCACTGCCTTCACGTGGCGGAGGTGTTTCTCACCAAAGTGAGAGGGCGAAAGCGGATGCCCGGCGCTCTCCACCGGGTTGACTGTCCATTGGATGACAGTCTAGAGGAGATGGCTAAACCCTGATTCCAAACCTCCAACGACTGGCGTATGAAGCTCACCGGAGCTCACCGACAGACGTATGGACAAAGGGCTTATTGGATGCCCTGGATGTCTGGCACCATTCAAAAAAACGTATAAACCGGATTCCGGTCACCGGCTGCCAATGGATAGTGGACTCCTTACTCCACTCCTACTGCCTTGTAAGTCACACTTGGCTGTGTAAAGGCTAGAGCTGCACTCTCAAACAAAAGGCCGAGCGATGCTGGGGACATCACTCGTACCAAATTCCCATGAAACATCATGAACTCTCTTACAAATTGCCGCGCCTGGGCAGCGATGATTCGAGACGTTCATGAAGCCGGCTCATCCTCCCGTAGGAGATAGCCGAAGTAAAGTAAAGTAAAGGTTATCTTCATCACCTTTGTCTTCTCTATGTTCACCTGGAGCCCTTTATTCTCTGCTAGCCTCGCCTCTTTAGCCAGTTTGTTGGTTTTCGTTTGCAAGTCTTCGAATTTGCGCGTGTGTGTGTGTGTGTGTGTGATATTTAAACATAAATCATCAGTTAGTTTACTTATTAATATTAAATAAGTAGTATACTGTCAAACATTTAAAAAAGTGATATCTCTAATATAAGCCCAAAATAAACTTACAGAAGGATTAAGAAGCTGGTGGTATACACACATTACATACGTGTATGTATCATTATCTAATTGTATAACTCCATTAGTTAATCATTTTTAGTAACTGTTGTATGATAACTAGGCGGATAAAAAGCTTCATATTGATGATCTGATGGTACGAAACTTCTCGCTTGTTCAATATTAAATATTGGCATAGGTGCAGAAGGATATGGAGTAGGCGGTACTGACGATGTGGATGGCATTGGCTTGAATGGTTGACGTGGATACGGTATCTGAAAGAAAGGAATAAGTCAATAAATAAATTAGACATCCGAGATCACAGTGGTAAAATGCTCACCAAGCCCCACACCCATCTGATCCATCTAGGTTTAATTCCCCTCGCCTAGTCGGTAGACAGTAGGCTTCGAAAGGTGGGAAGGCTAGACTCCAGGCCAGGCTAGCAACCCCATCCTATAAAAGACCACACCATCTCTGTTGAAACTCAGGGAAGCTTGAAGCTCTGTGTTCCACCCGAACGATTAAAAAGGGTACTTTACTAATGATTTCTTTATGAAATATACTGCTATAAACTGCTATTGTGATGAGAGCCGGCCGAGAACAAGCCAAAATTGTAAACAATAATTTACTTTCAGTGTCAAATACAGAATCAGGGTCATGAGAAAAACGATAACAAAGCTTAGACTTGAGGAACTCACTAACCAATCACAGCAGACTTAACATGTGCAAATACGATTCGCAGATATATGGCTTAATTTTCTAAGAAACGGTCACAAGCAGCACAGAATATCCTTCATCAAGAAAACAACCAATCAGAAAACGTTGCTCTTCTGCTAACAATAACGTACGTAAAAATCAATAAATATCTCTTGATTTTCTCAATAAACAATCCATTGCGTGGTCCTTGTCTTCTATTGTTACACTATCACCGGTTGATTTGAGTAGTTGGAAGTCGCTCACATCGACAGATAGATCAAGTTGGTCAATTGCAAACTCGTTTGTAATTTACACAGGCGTGTCGATGGCACAGCGGTAGAATGCTCAACAACCACGCCACATGTGGTCCGGTTCGATCCCCATCCACTGATGCACTCCTTTACCTCGCTAAACCAGTAAATAACACTGGTAAAGAGGAAAGGTTGGGCTAGATGAGGCTGGTTAGCAACCCCATCCATCCCATAAAAGTAAACTCCACTGCTAGCAAAACTTCGAAGCTCTCTCTAGCTTGAAGCCACTATATGTTCCACTCGGAACGTAAAGGGAAAAATAATTGTAATTTACACAGTTCGAGAAGGCGGGATTTCACTTAAGTTTCATTCGGAAACTGAAATAATTCAGCTGTGTGATCTGCATGATACTACTATGAATGGTAATCACAAAGGCAAACATAATTGCATGACACTATATATACCAGTGATTGATTGAGATGCCGCCTAGTTGTACACCACATTGCATTAACCAGTAGTGTTAGCCAGTCAGCCAGCCAGCCATCTGATCTTCAGTATCAAGCGAAGAGGGTATAGATGTTAGTGCAGTTGTTTGCAGCAGCCTGTTGGGAATGCTTTCGATGATATACACGCTCCAAATATCTATGAATGATAAAGAAGCATTGTCTTGACATTAGTGTTGAAGATCTAGATCTTGTTTCTTGTATGTTGTGAGTGTAGTCGCTTTTCACATTGAATTCGAAAGTAATTGAGGTGTATTTTATTGAAATTTAAATTTTCCCGTCGACTGATGATTGAACTGAAGTGCTCGGTTTCAAGTTGACACGTCTGTTGGCTTCTTGTGCAGATGCTTCGACGATTCCTGAGCATATAATTAGAATTTAATTGGTGGATAGTGACTAGCAGTGGAATCCAATCCAGGATAACGCGCATTTCGTCCTATGTGGGACTCGTCAACCAGTGGATGTACTTGCATTCCCCAGTGAGTAGTGGATGATGTTCCCTACACCGAGGCTCGAACCCAGTGCCCATAGTTCCATCTGCACAAGAAGCCAAGAGACATGTCAACCTGAGACCGAGCACTTCGGTCCAATCATCAATCGATGGGAAAATCTACATTGAATGAAATAAATCATAAGACTCGTTGCACAAGAAAGAGGTGGCTGTCATGGCCAAGTGGTCTAGTGGATAACATTTTAGCGTTTAAAACTATGGGCACTGTGTTCGAGCCCCGGTGTGGGGAACATCATCCACTACTCACTGGGGAATGCAGTTACATCCACTGGCTAACGAGTCTCAAATAGGACGAGATGCGCATCCTGGCTTGATTCCACTGCTAGTCACCACCATCCACCAATTAAATTCTAATTGAGGTATGTCTTGGTTTCCTGATCATGACTGGCTTTGACATACTCATTCGTGCCACTACCACCTACCTGTAGCTGTAACTGAAACGATGCTTTCTAGATAAGTAAAAGAGGTGACTTTATTTATTTTTTTTAAATCTCTCTCATTGGTGTGACTAATGCTTGTTGTTGTTGTTGTTGTCGGTGGTGGACATCGGATATATATTGGTGATCGCATCACTGCCACCCATCCACTTGCGTATATATTTTATTTTAAAATTTAAATACAGTACACGAGGTTAGGTATGACGGTACACATAGTATTATTTCATCAACCCAGAGAGAGACAGATTTGTCCTATTTGAGCATTCAAGATCAATTGTCACTTTATTAGGCAAAAATTTTATTTTGAAAGAATCACACAGTTGTGTTATACAGTAAGTAATATTACTGATGATAACCACGATTCGAGCACAATTTATTACTACAGCTCATAATCATATCAAGGCATTACTCACACGACTTTTTACACTTCATTTATATACTTGAGTAAAAATTGATTAGACATCTGAATAGAAATCAATATAAGATAAAGTACATTCGGAAATAATAATAATATGAGTGTTATCAATCAAATACAATCAGATGGGAAATAAGATGCTTTTTATAGTAAAAATAAATAAATAAATAACTTGTTAGAATGTTATAATGTGAATTTAAGTGAATTACATTTTAAGATTATTTATTATCCTCCTCTGATTTGACTGACTGGTGGTAATAATATCTTCCATGCATATCTCTGGTATTTGCATTGAGTCACTTCGATTGCATGTGTTCGGTGTAGACTGGATGAACCAGGCAGGATTCAGTAATCAGACACCTCTCTTTTGCTCACCTACCTATAGTACTCACGAGAATTTAAAAAAAAAACATCTCAGCAATAGCACTGCATTCATTAACACACAATCATACAATAGAGTGGGTAGACCAGAGTCAAAATTCTAAGAAGTAATACAGGTAGATGGAGAGAGAGATGGATCACTGAATCATGGTTCATAGAATAAACTACACCCAACATAACCAATAGATTTGACAAGGTGGCGACCTTGCAAAAACTTCATACATTTAGTTCTCTTGGTGAATTTCGATAAAGATTAGTCGTTCAGTGATCTCAACTCACCGAACAGATCTCAATCTTATAAACAGTAAGATTTAACAGTGCAAACTACTCCCCATGTCGTGAATTAAAAGTCAATTTGAACGAAGAATATTCTTTTCCTCTTCAGGTTCTTACAATTATAAAATGATAATACTTGTGGCCGTTACAATACTTTGTACTAGCCACTCACTCACATGACACCTTTTATAACCTTGAACTGACTTGTTACTTGTTTTCCTACCCCACACTCTACAAACCTATTATGACGACTAATCACCATCATATCACTGTCTCCTATTCCACAATAGTTTGTAACCGACTTCAGCCCAGAGCACATTTGTCACACAAATACAACTATTTATTTTGTCACCCTACGATAACTACTCTGTTGTCCCACGTAAAAATGTATCCGCCGCATAACTGGCCTTTATTGTAACGACAACAAATATTGTATTTTATAATATTATATTATTATATTTTGTAAGAACCTGAAGAGGAGAAATTATTGAAAAGAATATTCTTCTTTCAAATTGACCTATAAACTGTAACCACTTTCGTTTCTTAAGTTGCTATGTGAACCTACAAGCCAACAGTGTTTGTTAAGTTTTTCGGTTTCCTGTCTTCCCCCTTCCTCCTCTCTTTTCTACTTTAAAAGCGTATAAATTGATGATGAAAACTTAAACTAAAAATTGTAATGCTGCTTACATTTTGGATGCGTCAGTTTTATAGTATTTCGTCTCAACTACCAATTAAAACATTAAAGTATGCTATTATCATCTATATAATGATTGTAAATTGCAGGTAGTCTGCAGCTGATGAGAACCTGTGAAATAAAATGATGATATCATTATATACTTCAAACTTCGTCTTCCTTTCTTTGTCGAAACATGCAATAGAAGCGACTCAACACAAATACCAGAGATATGTATGGAAGATATTATTACCACCAGTCAAATCAGAGGAGGATAATAAATTGTGTTAAAATGTATTCAATTCAACTCACATTATAACCTTCTAATAAGTTACTTATTTATTTCACCAAAAAAACATCGTATTCCCAATCAATGGCTGGAGACAATATGTGACATGGCTGAAAATCGTTGTCAATTGCCAGCGCAGATGTATTCAGTATCTGTAATCCTTCATATTCCTTTCTACCATTACCCATTCTGTTTCACTCTTATACTTGTCAAACGCTATTGATTCTCTTCACTCATCTTCTTGTCTACCTTTGTGTGCTATTTGGAACGTGGCAACTGGAACTGGTGCACTTCGGTGCAAAGTTTTATGTTGAATCCAGACAGACCAGACAGATCTTATTGACTAATAACACCCTGAATGTACTTTATCCTCCTTTCTGTACAACACTGTGGGACTTTATCAAGATAAAATTTTATCCATAAGGGTCATCGGGTATCTTCACCCCTATGTTTTCCCTCTATTCACTTGAAGTCCTACCTTCACCTGGCAACTTCTTCTCTCAACTAGTTGGTTCTCACCTGTAGATCTTTGAGTTTGTGTAACGCTAGACGAAAAATCATCTGTGTATCATATGCATAGATATCTTTAAAAAACACTGCATGTACCAGGTGATAAGCCGCAGATGATACTGTCTAGTTTCCTATCCCTAAAGTGTAAGTGAAATAGGATTCGAACATGGGACACAACATTACTACTCAAGTCAAATGAATATAACAGTCCATAGAGTAATTAACTTCCATATGTATATATGCTAGCCAATAAATTATATAACCGGAAGGTCCTAAGTTCGATCCCTGGAATACGTACTGTGCTAAAAAGTCCTAAAGTAGAATGAAACGGCTGTCAAGTGACACCCCTGGTTTTCAGTAGTGGTCAGGTCGTGATCTACCACCTTGTATGTATACATCAGTTATTAACTGAACTAACAAGTAAAGTGGTGAATATACTACAAGCAAAAAGTAAACAGAGAAGTGAACTTACATCTTTATAAAACTCTGGATCACGACATCGATAGTCTCTTTCATCTTGTATAGATTCTTGAATAATTAATAAGGCACTAGTTAAACAACCACTGCATATAATTAATGGTACACTGAAGACTAAGAAAAATGTACCGGCTATTGTACCATTATACTGAGATGATCTATACGGAGAATAAAGTACAGGAAGAGAAAAAAAAAGAGGAATTAGTATATATTCAACGATATACACGGGGTGCATGACGAGTCATCGGCTTTCCTCGACGAGCAGTACAGTGTTACCTGACATGAGATAAGGTTGGAGACAGGAATTAACGAGGTGGTCAAACCGAAAATCTGGCTTCAATCCATGAAGCCTTTCATTATTGATTTGGGCCAAGCACTTAGGGAGGTGTAGGACATCCTGGCGTAACGACAGAAGCTAGGGAACAGATCGTTTATTGAGAAAATCGACAGATACTTATGGATTTTTATGTACATTATTATTAGGGTTATTGTTAGCGGAGAAGCAACGCCTTCTGATTGGTTGTTTTGTTGCTGAAGGTTATTCTGTCATCTTTTTATTGCCTTATCTTAGATAGTCCGTTGATATATCTGCTAATCGTATCCGCTCACGCAAAGTCTGCTGTGATTGGTTGTTGAGTTAGTCTTTGTTCTTGTTTTTTTTTCTCATGACCAAGATTTGGGACGTAAATGCTGACGTATATTGCTGTCTACCGATTTTGGCTAGCAGACAGCTCTCACCATACTGGTTGGCAGAATCCATGGGATGTTACGAACCAATGGCTACAGACTGTCAGTAAAATGACTCAATGGTACAGATGCATTCACTCTTTGTAGTCTCTCAGATCCATTAAACCTTCATGTTTTTCAATGTTACTATTCTTTCTCCTGTAGATTTCTGCTGATTATATTTCTTTTGGATCCATTTTCTCCTCTACTCTACATTTGTGTACTACATGGAGTGTGGGAACTCGAACTGCTGCTGCTGCACTTCTGTGTAGTGTTCTATGGTGAAACTCAACCAGTCAGTCAGTGGTCATAAATACATGTGATATTACAAAGAAAGGAGAGATGAAATGTTATCCATTTTGGAAATCGTCCACAATGACTCAGCATGAGGAACACGATTCGCATTTCCAACATTAATGTGAAGTCAGTCACTGCCTCTATACAGGTCAGAAACTTGACCAGAGTGTCAAGAAAAGGATTTCCAACAGGGTACGTCAGACTAACACATCAACAGCTGGCACCTTTGCCAACTCCATACTGAAGATCAAATGACTAGCCAGAAAGAATCAGCAACGTGAAACTCCAGCCAGGAACAAACCAACCAAGAACCGATTGCTCAACAAATATGTAAGAGATAACGGAGATGGGGATAAGGAACACATTGAAGAGACCGTTGAATGGCATCGCGCGCAGTGTAGGCCACTGCTTGAGTGGAATCCAATTAGGAAGCGACGAGTGCGTCTTTAGTGTGAAGGTGACATGGAGAAGATCGTGTGGCGAAGAGGAGATGGGAGATTATGGGCAATCGTGGAACCAGGCAGTAGAAGAGGACGAAAGAAAACAGAACAAAGTACAGATGTGCTCAGATTGAAGCTTTATTTTCCACCCGGAACGCAAGGGAATAATAATAACATTGATCAGTTGGGATGAGAGCAAATGCATAGAATATACCCAGTCTTAAGGCATTAGAAAGTTTACAAAAATAAAAGAAGTAACATATATATATATATATATATATATATAATATATATATATGGTCGCCAGGAGATACAATTATATCGCTATTATTCATGGAGAATTCAAATGAGTTCATTCTGTGCTAAAACTTGCGCTGAGGACATTGTCCGGCAGGGGGACGACGGAAGCTTCGCAATTTAAATCGATCATATCATGTACTCGTCGCCAAATTATTGTTATGTACTGGTCGAGAATTTAGTAGTCCTGACGCAAGAAAGACGCAAATCAGAAGACCTCTAGTTTTGCGATGATACTTCTATTTTCCAAACACCAGGAGAATCAAAATGTCACACAAGAGTGTGAGAGCAAAAATAAGAGAATGTCCAAACAAGTGTGTGAGAGAATATTCAAAATGAACAAATCAATAGACAGTCTTAACATGATTGGCTAACTATAATGGAATATCGATCCATATATACATAGCAAAATATATCAGACTGTCAAACAAACACACATATTATATGGATATATATATCAAACCAGTTAGCTCAGAGAACACAACAAATTTTAAATCATCCACCTGAGCTACAAATCTTCTCCATTATTTGAATTAACATATAAATCATAGTGCATATGTGGTTCAGCGGTAGAATGCTTGCCAACGACGTACACACGCCCCGGGGTTCGACTCCTGGCCACTAACCCTTTCCTACACCTCTCTAAGCCGGTAGGTAAAGAGGGAAAGCGTTAGGCTAAATGAGACTAGCAACCCCATCCCGTAAAAATAAACACCACTACTGCCGAAACTTCAAAGCTCCACTTGGAACTTTGCACAGCAGAAGTGCAACAGTCCAAGTTGTCGCATTCCATGTAGCACACAAAGGTAGAGTAAGAAGAGATTCAAAAGGACGATTATAATAAGAAGAAATGTGAGGGAGAAAGAATAGTAACATGAAGGAACATGAGTGAATGCACCTGCACCATCATTGAGTGATTTCGAGCCATATTACCATATTATAGTGTCTTGAATGGAGAGACAAGCAACACATCTAGCTTGGTAGTCAGTCGTCTGAGGAAGAGACCTTACTGCCTTCATACACACACACACTCTATTCATCACCAACAGTACAACTTTGCCATCAGACTCCCAACAACATGGTAGCACAGTGGTTAGGACTCTCGCCGACCATGCACATGGTCCGAGGTTCGAGCCCTGGCCGACGCACACCTGATATCTATGGTCGGCCTGCAAAATTTGGGCTACCGATATCCATGCTGAAAATTCCATACTTGTACCAAAAATACGGTGTGGAATCAAGCTGCAATCAAAAATAAAATAAATAAATAAAAACAAGGTACACTAAGATGACAAATACTTTTGGTACTGCCGTCATCCAAGAGACCTTACTGACATTGTAGGCGATCGGCCACAGGAAGCAATGTGCACCTGACCTATGTTTCGTGCTAGTTGGCTCTCACCAGTCAGTCAACAAGGCATATCTGTAACTGCCTTGAAGGAAGTCATGTCCCTTCTGAGATTCGAACCCGCGCGTCACCAGCCAGTACTGCAGTAGAGACATCGCCACTGAGCTATTTGGGCTCCCGACTGACCTTATGTAGGACTGTATTGGATACGCCTTGCCGACAAATGTTAACTAGAATGAAACCTGGGTACAAGGCTTCCTGCCAATGGCCTCCAACCAGTTCAAAGTGTACAGTGATGGCAAGCCACCTAGAATGATGGCCACATTGCAAACTTGACTGATAGAATTCAGAGTCTGCGTCACACAAAGGACTAGACACATTACACTAGTTACGCACTAGAGCCTATTCAAAGTATGGTAGGTTCTGAAAAGAACATTCGTTGCAGCTAGTATAACTGCTAATTGGATCATTACGATGTGAGAACCCGATCACCGTTTCAAGGTAGCAACTATCTGCATCCACTGAGAGTAATATCACTGTTTGAATCCTGATTTAAGATTCGCCAATAGTAAAAAAAGATGCCGTGCTTCCCGACACACTTAGTCTGATTTCTCTCCATTTATCAAGACGACGATGGTGGTAAGCGTAGAATAAGTAATAATGGAGGAGGTTTGTAGCTCAGGCGAACGACATTGAATTATTTCTGTTCTCTGAGCTGGGTAGTTAATTAAACTGCAAAGCTTTTGTTATCCACCGTCTAGACAACACCACTTCACTGCAGGTTTAGTAGTATGAAATGAACTTATTCCTGTTCTCCATGAATAACAGTATAATAATATAGTTGTATCTCTTGACAAGCATTGGTTGTGATTGGTTGTAAATTTACGTATTTATTGATCATTTTTATTGATTTGGAATTTGAACTTTCTTGTTATATGATGATTTACTTTTTATTAGCTGATAAATTTGGTCTACATATCCAAAACAAGAAGTTGGTTCAGAAACATTCCTTACTTACCTTGGCCATTAAAATTTTAATGATCCTTAATTGGTTGTAGAAATTTCCTTAATTTTATTCGATATTCTATTTGTTATTACATTTTTATGTTTATTATAATTTATGCATCTTTAATGAACTTTAATTCCACTGATCTTACTTAACAAAACGATAGTATTTAATGATATTAGATGATTGGAGGCAATCGGCCACAGGAACCCCTACCTGACCTAGGTTTCGTACTAGTTGGCATTCACCAGTCAGTCAGCAAAGCGTATTTACAACCTTAAAGGGACTTATGTCTGAGATTCGAACCCGTGTCACCAGTCAGTGCTGTAATCAAAGACGTTGCCACTGAGCTATTCGGACTCGCGATTGACCTCCTGTAGGACTGTAGTGGATACTTTGATTGGACATTAGTAACTAGTGTGATGTGTCTAATCCTTTCTTTGGTATAAACTGAATTCCATCAGTTAGGTTTGCAAACGCGGGTTCGAATCTCAGAAGGGACGTGAACTGTTCCTTCAAGGTAATTGCAGACACGCCTTCCTGACTGACTGGTGAGTGCTAACTGGCACGCAACCTAGGTCAGGCAAGGCTTCCTGTAACTGACTGACTCCAAACATCTAATATCGTCAAATCAATGTATACCGCCGTGATGGCGAGCTACCTAGAATGGTGACTATATTGCAAACCTGACTGATAGAATTCAGTTTGCACCAAAGGAAGGACAAGATATATCACACTAGTTACTAATCTTCAACTAAACGATAGAATTTAAAAAACACCAATATTGTTAATGACGATTATTCTAGAATATTCTATGTATATAAGCATATATATAATTGTAGAGCCATAAGAGAAAACTATCAAAAAGAATATTCTTTACTCAATTTTTTAAATTTCGTTTCTGTAATAATGTGTGTTTGTTAGTCGCTGGCTGATTCCCTTAAATACCAGGCTTCCAGAAATCCCCTGGCGTTACTGTCCTCTATGTAAAATCTCTGCATTATCCCAATCAAACTGGAATACATATCGTGCCTTTTTATAACT